AAAAGAGGTAGGGATGTTTCCTGTTAGCCAAAAGCTCACCAATAAGTAAAAAATTTTATGTCCAATATTACGTCCAATAAGTAAAAAATTATGTCCAATATTGCAGATGAAGCCAATCAGAAAGCTCAGCAACTGCTACTTGAGCATCTACACTGGCTCTGACAGTGGATTCTAAGCACATGACCACCAAATACCTTGGGAAGTGACCTTGGGAAAGGAGCCAGAACCACGGCACCTTCTGAGTGGCTCCCTTTGACGTGGAACATTCTTCCTGGATTCCCAGTTTGCATTTCGGTGGGGCCCTTGTAAGAAGGGCACCGGACATGTTAGCTTCATCCCCGTGTACCCCACCTTGTCCATCATGACTTGTGGGTGCCATAACACACCATGGAACATGGTGGCCCTAACTTGGATCCTATAAATAAGATAAGAACTTCTCAATTCTGCTCAGGGAAGTATACCCACCTAGGTAAGTATTTCTCGATGAAGTTCGCCTTCTTCTGCTTTAAGGCTTGTGTCAGAAATCACTCAGTAGGTTAGGAAACTCCAAAGATATTTACATAGAACCATAAAAGACTCCTCTATACAAACCAGGTGAGTTGTGCTATCCCTATTCTAACCATCACCAGGGCTCCTTTTATCTGCCCATGAAGATCAGGTTTTGAAAAACTTGAAGGCATTTAAAATAGTAACTAACAGAAAAGGCTTCAATGTTATATTGACCTGAGTTTGAGTCATGGATCCATCCACCGTTAGCGATGTGACCCGTTGAGTAAGTTATTCAACTTCTCCGATCCTTTTCTCCACTGTTGGAAAGCTAGGAGTTGACAACAGAGCTGTCTTTAAAGCCCGTTCTTTTAACCACCACACTGGACTGCTCCACACACTTTAAACAGCACCTTGCTTGTGGAACTCGCCACATCTCTGCAGGCTGGTTGCTTTATCTTCAGGACTACCTTCTTCTATCAAAAGCCATGACAGTTAAAGCTCAACTCCAAGGCACGAGAGAAACATCTTTTCACTCTGTTTCACACATGCACAAGTCCAATAGTTGGGTCTGAAACACAGGAGTATCGCCTTTAAAGAGTAATGAAACTGATAAATAGGTTTTATTCGTAACACGGAAAACCACACACTCGAGTGTGGAAGCCACACTTCAGTTTAACCAGTTGTCTCCAAATCAAATATGGCTCCCAAACTGGAAATGTCTATTGTTTTGAAAGCTGAGATACAAAATTATAGTTGAGATATGAAACTTTAATTGACTAATTTCGCAAACCTTCCATGTTCTCTCAAGAGGGTCATAATATCTAAATGTCTTAAATTAAAAATTACAGTTCTTTTGCGATGTTGTAGAGAGTTTTACAACACTTCTGAAAATAGGGGTTTAGATTACATGACTTTGAGTTGCCAGATAAGCACCATAATAAAGATTTTCTGCTGGAGAACCATCAGTATTTGTGGGAAGCATGGCCATCTAAAGATGGCAAGCCTTGGCTAAAAACATTCAAATTCAAAACATTTTAAAATTATGTAGCCAAACAAAATGTAACTGAAAGTCGCATATGCGCCTGCACCACAATTTGCAAACCCTCCCTCAGAAAACAGGCGATAGTCACCCCGCACCATTGTTCCTCAGGATTACCTACAAGCAAACTTGGCAACACTGATGGCTGAGAGAGCCTCTGGGGGTCAGGCTGCACCCTCCTCTATGCCAAGTCAGCCCTCCCCTGCCTGGCTTTCAAGTGGAGAATGATGCTCAACTCTACTCCTGTCCACTCTCACACCACAAGGCTGACCTCCATCCATACTGCACCATACACATGCCATTCCCGTATTCTCTCCCACTGCCACCCTGTGCTCATCTTTTGTCCACGATGTCAAATGGCTTCTCCTTTCCTAGGCCAAGCCAAAACTAATCTATCTTTAATTTCATTCATGTTTTGTTTTTTTACTCCACACAAAGGGCACAGAAGTGGGATGGACTCAGGCTGCCTTGGGAGGGTAGGGAAGGCTTCATAGAGAGGTGACACGCATGCTGGGTTTAGAAGGAAGAATGGATGACTGCCAAGTGATGGTGGGAAGAACATTCCAGAACATTCCAGTAGAGGAGGCAGAAAGAACATTCTAGAACATTCAAGTGGACGAGGCGGGAAGAACATTCTATTGCATGTTTCTATTGTGAAAGGCCCAGCAGGTTTGCAGGGATAAGATGCTGGAGAAGCTGGCTGCAGTCAGGAGAAGACCCTTGTTTGCCTCACTGAAGAGACAGAACTTGATCCTGGAGACAAAAGGAAACCAAAGGATTGGACTTTGGTCAGGACCCCTAGCCCATGTCTTCGTGGAGTCTGATCTTCTCACGCAGTATCTCCTCCTCAGCATTCCTATACCCCTTAACATCACACCACACAATCCAGGTGTCATTACTTATAGCTATTGCAGTATCTCAGTCTGTGTTTCCACTGACCAGAGAAGACCTAAGGGCAGGAGTCTTTCATTTTTTTAACTTCTGTATCCTAATAATGCCCAGCAAGTGAATGCTCAGCAAATTCCCAGGACTGACTCATTCAGATTCCTCCAGAAGATGAATTAAGCAAACTAGGTTCCAGAGATAAGAGTAGGGAAAGCTCTAAATCAGTCACCACAGACCTTACTATTGGCTACAAGTAACAGGGTCCAGGACCATAAAAGTTAACTTCAAAAGCAGCTACATTTGGGTCTCCCATCCATGAACTTGGATTCCTCTCCCTTTCTGCCCAGCCCTCCTCCACCACCCAAGCTGAAATTCACTCCTATTCCCCCTAGGAATATGGGTCCAGGAGGGATAGGAACCAGCTCATCTCTGGTTCGGAACATATCCCATTGACTGGGAGGGCCTGGGACAATCAATGCATTTAGCAAATGCAACTGGCCCTAGAGTGAGAGGGTGAGTCTGTTCCTGTGTGTAAATGCCAAGTTGCCATAGCAACTCCAGCAGGGTGCTGCAGTGGGCAGCTTTGCACAGAGGTGCACAAAACCCATTCTTCACATCTGGGCTTTTGCTGTGCACATTGGATCCTAGTTGGCCCATCATGCCTTTAGGCCCTTGGCTTTGGGGTTCTGCAAAAAAGGAGGTGGAATGTTGAATACCTGCTGATCCAATCTCCCTGTTTCCATGCGCCACACATGTCCCTCTTCATGCACAGTAAACACTGCATGTGGAGCCCAAAACAGGCTCTTTAGGAACCCACAATTCTCTACACACATTCTTATGTACTATGATGAACAGACTGTTCTCGCACATCAGCATGACCTCGACACGAAATTTATATCCACTGAATAACCCAGCAATTGTACATTTTAATGAGCAGCATATCCAGTGTCCCCATTCCCAGTCAGCCCCCAGTTCTTACTATGTTACTAGTACATTTTTTATACAAAAAAATAAATAATGCCATTAAAAGTGTAGGTTGCGCTTCAGTGGGGTTGCCTGAGCTGCACTCCAGGCGCTGCAAACCAACTTTTCAAAAGACCAGACCATTTCTGAGAGTGCTTTTCCCTAGGGGTGAGAAGTGGGGGTTTATTCACCCCCGTCTTAAAGTGTTCAGTGTGATGGTATCTCTTGTGAAGAAAGAGCACGAGGAGCATGTTAGATAACATTTCACGCGAGGCTCGCACCTACATATGGCCATCAGGTAGGAAGCCATGTTCCCGCCAAGTGAGTCCCAGTTAGTAGGGCACGGAGTAGATGAAACCGCCTCCTGGACACTTGTATTTTTTTTTCTTGGATTTAGAAACTTGTGACTATCTTTGAATTCTCTCCTAGGCAAAATAAGAATGACTTACAGCATCACTAAAGAAATGGCTTGCATGGGGGGCACGCCCAGCAGGATGAAAGGTGCATCTGCACATGGAGGAGTGAGGGAAATGTTGGTTAAGGAAGTCACATGAAGCTGTGGTGCTTTTTGCGGGATGCTGGAGCAGGACCACAGCATCCTTACAGCTTGGTTGTAAAAAGGGAGGGGGTGCGGGGGGGCATTAGAAATGACGTGGAGTTTCCAGTACCTGAAGGAGTTTCATGGCCTAAGAAACATAAAATGGGAGTACCAAGAGAGATGTAAACAAAGGAAGGAAGAAGGAAGAAGGAAGGAAGGAAGGAAGGAAGGAAGGAAGGAAGGAAGGAAGGAAGGAAGGAAGGAGGGAGGGAGGGAGGGACTGTCACTCAGGGAGACCAGGTGTGCAGGAATGCCTATGCCCACCTAAGGTGGCCATGAGAACAAAGAAGATAATTAACAAGCTACAGCCGGATGATTTCTTTATCCCGGGAATTATGAGGTGACAGGAGATGTGGAGGTGGCTGCGTGAGGGGCTGTTACATGCAGGCATGGAAGCAGGGCTGGCCGGGATGGACACCAGGGGTACAGGAAACTTGAGTGATCTAAAGGCAGGCCCCAGAGCGTGTCAGTAACCCAGTGACAGAGGAAGAGCTCTGGGTGAGTGAAGGCTAGAGATCCAGCCAGTGCCATCTGGCCTGCACATGCCTAGCAAGGTGACAACGGGATGCCGCGTTCCAACGCCCCAGGAGGTGTGGGTGGAGGTGGGTGTCCAGGGGGAGTGAGGCTAAGAACTGAGCATGTGGCCAGGGAGTGGGGAGAAGGGCTCTGTTTGCTGAGCCGGTAGCAGAACAAGAAGTGCTCTGTCAACGCGCTCCTGAATGAAAGCTAGGAGGTCAGGCTGGGCAAGGTTTCAGGGAGACTCTTGCAACCTGTTCCTTTGAGGCAGGGTGGCTAAGGAGAGGCTGAGGACCCAGCATTCCAGGTCGGATGTTGGGGGGAAGTCAGGTGCTCAGTGGCTCTGGCCTACAAGTGGGTGTGAAGAATGGTCTGGAATGGGGCGGATCCGCCGAGGTGGGAGTGGGGGAGGGGAGGTCGCCGGCCAGTGGGTGTGTAGAGCGAGCCGATGTGGGGGGTGGGGGCGCCGAGCCAGCGCCTCGGGCCTCCTCGACCTCCCCGGGGACTCACCCAGCACGAAGTAGGGCAGCTCCGTGTTCTCCAGGTCGTCCACCACGACCATTTCTCCCGGGAAGTCGTTGCGCACCGAGAAGAGGAGCTTGGGCTCGGAGGCCGAGGGGCTGTGCATGATGCTCAGGTCGTTCTCGCGCAGGAAGGGCAGCGCCGACACCGTGATGCTTTTGAGCTTGCACTCCAGCTCCTTGGAGGGATCCACGTCGCCGGGGGCCGTGGCCAGCACTGCTGCCGGCCCCCAGCAGCAGGCGAGCAGGGTGCAGAGCCCGGCTAAAGCCATCTTGAGCCCCGGCGCCGTCCTCCCAGCGCTGCGACGGTGGGGGAGGAAGCGAGCGAGCGAGTGCGCGAGGGAGGCGGGGGTGGTTGGGGAGGGGACGTGCAGCCTGCGATCCCTGGTCCCCGGAATGAGACGCCGCCGACAGTGCGTGCGCGGGGCTTAAGCGCGGATGCCTGGAGAGCCCGCGTCCTTTGTTTCTGGGAGCTGCTTATCTGGGGGAAGGGAAAAGGGGGGGAGGGGGCAGAAGAGAAAAGGGGAAGGAAGGACGTAGGGAGGAGAGAGGAAGGCAGCCGAGGATTCTAGGGAATCAGGTCAGCCCCCAGCAGGCTGCTGGTGCCGCCACCTTTCTCCTCCTTTGCATCCCCTGGGAGGAGCACGCTCCTGGCTACTAACCACCTGCACAGCGTTTTTAAAACATCGGTCTTTGCAAAATCTTCTCTCTCGCATCATCACCCAGCTGGGTTGGGAAGGGCACACACCTAAAAAGGTGCTTACTCAGAGCGGGTGACAGTGTGGGGTGGTCCCTCTAGGTGCAAATCCACCCCCAGTTATTTCGTAGGTGTAGGTGGTCCCATTCTTTTTTTACCCACTAGTTGGGTTTATAGATTGGATGAGCAGGAGCTGGGATAATGCACATCTGTATTTTTTACCCTGCACTAACTTGGCAGAAATATTTAATGAAAACATTAGTTATATGGATATAGATAAATCAAAAGGTAGCTAAGAATGACAAAAAAACAAAGCCAGCCCTCTGCATTCAGTTAAGTAGGAGACCAGAACTTTTATTTGCGACTTCTCTCCATCTCTTTGTTTCGTTTCTGTTACAAATGTTATCTGTTGTAACCAACATAAAGATGATTTAGGGAATGATATCACTGATTGTTTAAAAAGTAGAGCTAGGGCCGGCCGAGTGGTGCAATGGTTAAGAACTGGCTTGGGATGCCAGAGAGCCCCGGTTCGGATCCCACATATGAGGGCCAGTGACACTGCCCTCCACAGCTAAGATGCTGAACAACAGCTC